ATAATAATCGCGAGTATGATTTAGGCACTAATGTCGCTGTTCGTGCTATCTAGTAAGGATGGTTGGGTTGCGATAATGTATCAGGGTATCGATGCGACGGGCGTTGATTTACAGGTAACATCGTTCAAAAAACAAAATTTTAAAAATTTTCAAAAGTCTACCTTTAATTCTTTTTCGTAAAATTTGTACTTCGTGAAGTGCTTTTAGTGGCGTAAGGTGTTTTTCCACAGGCAGTTTTATTTTAATCATTATTTTCAGTATTTCTGTTTCCGCTAGTTTTTCCAACAATAATCCGAATCTTAGTTGTCCACTTCTCCATGTAATCTCTGTGGTGTATTGCTTTTCGAGCAATTCTTGTGATACATACCACATTTTAGCCGATTGAAAATTACAACGAATGGCGGATGATTTACTTCATATCATTTTTGCTGCTGGTTGGCTTCTTCGTGCTGAATATGTTTGTTGGCGTTGTGGTGGAAAATTTTCATAAGTGTAAGGAAGCGCTAGAAGCGGAAATGAAAGAGCAGGAGCGACAGAAGCGTCTCGAGCGGGAACTCAAACGGCAGCAATTCGAGAATCAGTACGGGCACAGGAAAAAAAGACGTAATGTCTTACCTGCTTGCTTGGTTCTGGCAAGTCACTCAGTGAAATGGGACTTTAATTAAGATCAGAGGCATACTCAGGCGGCTTCACGGCCTGTTTGTTGTCTTGACAAGAAGGGAAGCACCTCAGCCAAAAATAGCGCCAATATAGCTTTCTTACGCATCGTAGCAATGCAAAATTCTATTGGAAAAAAGGTAAGATTTTACTGTAAGAAAGCGGTGGGAAATGAAATTTGACGGAGTGGATATTAGTTTTGGCTGAAATATACTGTATTTGAGCCAGGAAAGTGCAAAAATCTACAGAGGAACGTTTTGGATAAAGAATGCTGAAGTAAATGCATGTTCTTTTTGCTAGGAAATAAGCATGAAGCTAGTAAAAATGATAGCAAATTCTTAGAAGTTATTTTGGACTTTCAAGCATTGTCACTGCTCAGGCGTATTTTTTGGGTATTAATTGGGGTACTTTCTACAGGGGAGAAGCTGCAGCCGTACTGGCATAATTACGGTCCAACAAGGCTGTTTTTGAACAATGTCGTAACTTCGAAGTACTTCGACTTGGCCATTGCTGCTGTAATTGGTAAACTTTTGCTACAAAGTATTCCA